AGGTATGGGTCAGGTCATAGGACACTAAATTAATGCACGGTTTTCTAGTACAAAACATACGTTTCAAATCAGAACTTCTGGTATACAAAACTAGAAACTTACCAGTAAAGGGTTTAATCCATTTTATTAAACCAGTATAACTTAAAGGACCTTAGGTAATTAATTCTATAATACCTTAGTTTATACATCAGGCTTATATATAATTACTACCCGATAGATAGTTAGATGCGTGTCTTCAGCCTTATTTCCCATTCCTTGTTTGGTTATGGACTTAGAGCAGACTCACACAATTAACTATCTATTCAATATTAGATTATTATATAGCTAGTATAAACTAAATAACTATAGAAGGAACCATTGTGGTTACTATATATATTATAAGAAATAAGGGTTTTCTTAAAGGATCTTTTCATCAAATATAAAGGAACTATTACAGTTAACTCCTTGAGTACCAAGTGCTTAAACCACGGTTATATACAACAAGGATCTAACAACCAATGGGATGTGTGCCATCCGCCTCATTCCTTGTTCCTTGTTTGGTTGTGGGTTTAGGGCAGATACACACAATCGTTTGTTTGTTTACTCTGAGTTTTATATAACTTGCATCCATTTAGTACTCATAGAAAGGATTGTAGAGTCATTTTTACTTACCGTTCAACAAAGCATGAAATATAGGATTTTCTGGAGGAACAGACGAACTTTTCTAAACAAAACTTACAACTTACTATAATTTACCAAGCTTTCTACAACATAATTACATCACTAAAATCTTATGAATTCACCAGATTAATTGCTAATCAACTCTTTCAAAATAACTTGTATTTGCAGGAAACTAGTAGGCAGGTACTCGCACCGGGAATTCAGAAGATGGAGCATAATAGCTCAATGTCTTATTTTGTTTTTTACATATGTATTCTATGTTTTTTGAACACACACATTGTAAACACTTTCTTGCTAATGAAATGGTTGTTTATTACTTGGATTACTATGATGCATTTGTGATACTAAACATGATGCCCTCTACCCCCGAACGTTTCTGTCGTTCCGGTTTTAGGGTGTGACATATTTCCATAGAGAAATTGACTGAGATTTACATCAGGGAGGTTGTGGCACGTCATGGGGTTTCGGTTTTGGTGGTTTCTTAAAGTGATGTCCAGTTTACTACCGAGTTTTGGAAGAGGTTTCATGATGAGTTGGACACTTGTCTCTATTTCAGCACAACATTTCATCCACAAACCGATGGTGTCAGCGGACTATTTAGCCCCTAAAGGATATGTTGCGGGCGTGTATATTGGATTTCGGTGGGAGTTGAGATACGTATCTTCTATTAGCAGAATTTTCGTAAAACAATAGTTATCAAGTCGGCATTGATCACCCCCACCCCTTTCGAGATGCTCTACTGAGGAAGTGTAGGACCCTAATTTATTGGGGCAAGGTTAGTCAACGGGTAATGGGGTGTACTGGTACTCAAGACCACTGAGCTAGTTCAACAGGTTTAGAGCAGGCTCCAGACAGCTCAAAGTCAACAAAAGATTTATTCTGACAGGTGCCAATCAAATTTAGAGTTCCAGCTGGGTGATATGGTTCTCATGAAGGTGTCACCTTGGAAAGGTGTCAGCTAGTTCAGGAAGCGGCGCAAATTGGGCCCTATGTATATTGGTCCTTTTAGGGTTTTGGCCCGGGTGAGCCGGGTTGCTTATCGTTTGGATCTTCTGGATGAGCTTAGTCAGATTCATAGCACGTTCCATGTCTCTCAGCCGCGGAAGTGCTTAGTGTTTGATTTCGTAGTGGTACCATTAGAGGATATTTAGGTCGATGACTGCCTGAATTATATTGAGAGACTGGTGGCAATTCTAGATCGGAAGACGAAAAGCTTGAGGAACAAGGTTATAGGGTTGGGAAGGTGCAATGGCAGCACCGAAAGGGTTTTATTGGACTTGGGAGTTGAAGGATGAGATGAGGGAGAACTATCTAGAGTTATTCGGGGTAGCGGACTTCGAGGACAAAGTCTGATTAAAGTGGGGGAGAATTCTAACACTTGGATTTGGGTATGTTCCTTTTTAGCCCTTTGTAACTAGTTATTGCACTTTTGGTCCTTGGGGTAGTACGTAGGGCATATCACTGGGTACACTTAACGTACTAGTTATGAAGCTAGTACGCAGGGCGTACCACATGGTACGCTGAACGTACTATTTGGTTTTTTATAGCGGGACCGTGGCCTCCTACGCTGGTCGTACGAGGGTTTAATGAAACCCTAATTTTAGGGTGTTGCAACCTATATAAACTCCTTAAGTCCCTGGGGATGGCCTCTTTACCAGCCTCCATACCCCCTAAACCCTAAATTTTGACCCTTAGCCATAATTTGGTGTCCTTGAGCTCTTGAGAAGAAGTTGGTGCTTATTTTGCTCATTTTGATGGCATAGAAAAAGGTTGAAGATGCATTGCATAGTGTGAAGCTTATCGATCCAGAATCATCACTCCTTTTTCAAGCCTTTTGAGGTATAAAGCTCATACCTTGTCTACTCTTTGCTTAGATCTTTTCATGGTATGGTTTTATGCATCTTTGTCCCTTTTTGGTTGGTCTTCATGGGTTAAGGCCATTTTAGATGCTAAATCTTGTAGATCTAGATGTTTGGAGGACTGCCTATGCTTAAACATGCAAACTTTATGGTGTTTATGGTCTCATGCATGCGTTAAGTCATTTATTAAGCTCTTTCGAGCTTTAAGAGTCTCATCAAGCCATGCATGCACGTAAAGTTGGCAACTTTACATGATAAACCATCTTAAGGAAGTCAGATCTGAGTTTGGATGGATGTCTTAAACGATTAAGAGCAGGAAAATGAAAGTTGGCCGTATGGGAGGAATACGTTGGGCGTACAAGTAGGTATGCTTAACGTATAAGCCCTATAGCGAGTATGTTGTGCGTACATGATGAGTACGCCCCTTGTACTCCTCAGGTTAGCTTTTGGATGTTTGGGCTATATTTAGACTTAGATGCTTAGGGCCTTGTTGGGTCATCATGTTTTTGGGCGATGCATGTTTGGGTTCTCTTGGAAAAGGCCCATGAAAGGGATTGGGCCCAATTTGGAAGATTGGGCCATGATTGGGGATTGGATAATTAATTTGACATTGGTTCTTTCTGATGGTAGGTTTGGGCCTTAGTCTTGTTCATGCTAGGTAAGGAGTAAAATAGTCTTTTTACCATAATTTTTGGATTGTTGGTTATGGATTGGAATCCAATTATTAATCAGATGTCTTTGGTATTGATAGCGTTAGGATTTTAGTAGGCTAGCAGGCAGAGATCCTTTCTGTCAGATTCGACAATGCGAGGTGAGTTTCCTCACTGTGTTTAGCGGGTCAAAGGCACCAATGCTGGCCCATTATTTTGTTATGTTAGGATACTAGATGCTTGTGTGACTCTTGTATGTGTTATGTACTCTTATGCATATCGGGAAGGGCCCGATGACTATTTTTTATGCCATGTGTATGTGTTTATATATTATATATTTATATGTATGTCGGGTGGGCCCCGACCTGTATACCCTACAGTGTTAGATATCGGGCGGGGCCTAATGCCGGGCGAGGCCCGATGACCGGCGATGCCCAATATATGTTTATTATGTATGATATGTGGTATCTTGGGGAACTCAATAAGCTTTGTGCTTATGGTTTTCAGTTTATATTTTAGGTACTTCTAGTTCCAAAGATAAGAGCTTGAGATGATTGCAAAACACACAACACTCGATTCCATATTTTGTATTTTACTCTGATGTTGGTGATGTATTGATACATTTAATAACTTTGGTTTTATGATAATGATATGGTTTGATGTTTATTAAACTAAAAATGAAAAAATTTATGGTCTTATTTTTGGGACGTTACATTATAAACCCATAACTGAAATCTAAAAGCATACACACTCGTGAACTCGAATCTGAAATGGAGTTCATACAAGAAATATGGGATTTCTGGGTTTCTAATGATGAATCTGAAATGGAGTTCATACAAGAAATTGAACTTTGGAATTTTTGGGTTTTTGATGAACGAACTTGATCTGGTTTTCCTATTTCAGATTAAGAACACAAACTGAAACTCATTTTGAAATCGGAGTGTGTTTCTTCTCGAAAATGGATTTCAGATATGGGTTTCTTAAAAAAAAAAACAATGAGTTTCCTTTTGGAAAATGGACTTCATATCTACTATAGATGTGTTCTTCAAAACTTGATTTATGATTTTATCTAGTTTGACTCTAAAACTCTATTTCTGGAATTGAAGTGGTTGAATGATTTGGGTTGAAGAATTTTTGGGTCGAAAGGTTGAACATGATTTCCGAGTTCAAGCGATTGATGAGCAAAAACACCACGAATTTGGAACAAAATCGCATATGGAGGAAATAACATCGGAAAATCGAGTTTGACCGAAGAAGATGACCGGAAGATTTATGTTTGGCCGGAAGAAACGCCGAAAACCTCCAAAACCCACTATTACCTGTCATATTGATATAATATACACATTTCAACAAGTTCAAGGGTTAGTAAAGCACGAAAAATAATTTTGGTGACCAAAAGCTAAAATACGTCACTAGCTCAAGTCATTATCCCTTGGAATTAAGGAGTCGGCTGAAAAATTTTCATTCAAATTGCTAGCTAATTTTACCTACTTTCAAGTGTATTAACATATCCAAAAAATATATAAATTTAATTCGTTTTTTATTAGTCTATTTCTGTTTGAGAAAATATGTAGCTAGTTGATTATTCTCGTGAACACTCACTTAACTTGTGAAAACTATTATCTAGTCAAGTTTAATTCCGCATTTTCATTTTAGCAAATTATAATATATATACTTGTTAAACCAAAGATCACCTAGTACCTATTCAGTCACACTACCATCTACAATCAATTAGAAGAAAACATGTATTTCAATATACGTTATCCTCTACGTATAACTCTTCATGTCTTCACCAGATAGGAGCATTATATTAATTTAAGATTGTGGAAGCTCATTCGAATAAAAAAGGAGCTGTGTATATGCTTGGCCTCCAGATCAACTTTCGACCACTGATTATTCCCTCTTGCTTATTTGTAAACGTTGAATTAACTTCCCAATGTAGTGATTTCAGTAGTTTCTCAATTTCCATTATCATGCTGGACTCATCCCGAGCGATCAAATTTCCACCTGGTCTTAAAATTCTATCAACTTCTGCCATTACAGATTTAATCTTGCACCTACATAAACATATCAGAGTTCATGTAATAACCGGTTAACTTACCTATGCAAAATTTATCAACTGAAATCACCTGTTTTTCAGGTTGGAAAACAGATAGTCTGCATGGAGAAGATCATAAGTTCGAGGATATGTGCTAAAAGACTCACACCAATCATGATAAATACCAAAGAGACCCCTCTCAAATATTAACGGGAGCGTATCAGGAGAATCTATGTTCACGACATTTAGTACCCATAAATTTAGGTCCTTAACTGCTGCAGCGAACCTGTAAACATTGGTTAAATACTTCGGGATTGATCATCGATCACAGGAATAGGCAAGTTTCAAAGACGAGTGATTGGTCTTAACACTTACCCACCATACGTAGCTCTCATGTCCATAACATTTCGTAAACTGGACCAGTTAATCCCAAGCTTACTCATATATGATTTGCTAATCACCTGTTTCCAATGCTCATAATCAGCTATAAAGTCGTTTGCTGTTCGTTTTCCAGAAATCACGATCTGGGATTCATTTAACCAGTACGGAGGCTTTTGAACTCGGTCTGGCCATTCCTCAGGCCAATGTGAACCTCTGTATGTCTCCCCCATCGGCACCTCGTGCATGCATGCATGTAGAGATTCGTGCCTAAGAAACATAACATAATTCCAGATCATGTGAGTTTAAGTTTGACATTACTCCGTCTGATTATCCAAAATAAGATGCATTAACTTCAAAAGTGAAGTCATACCAGGCAGCATCGGGATCGTCATTGAGTTCACACATGGGAGGTTGCTGCTTCTTTCTTATATCATAGCATTCGTTTGAGTCAGGTTTGTGGTAGATCGCGACACTAATTGCATTTAGTTTGTCCTTCTTGATGGTGACAAGCTTCCAGCACATTGCGACCGTTAAAGCAGACATCTCTAAGTGTAGGGTTAGGATATTTATTGAAGTTATTTCAGGATTGGAAAATTTCTCTTTATTGCATATTGGATAAATAAATAGAAATTACAAACATTATATAGATATTACAACATCATATAATTACATGTGCAATGTTAGAGTGTTATTTGGGATTGACAATCTGAGTGAGTTTATAATCCGACCAGATCAAAGAAAAAATTTTGAATGATGAAATGGAAGGGATGAGTGTTTGGGATTGGTCCAATCGTTGCTAGGTTTTTATTTATTTATTTATATTTTTGTTTTTCATTATAAATATTTAGCTAGGATTCCTAGTGTATCATTTACAAAACAGTTCAATAATAAAAGTGATATGTGGTTCTTCCTCAAAGAGCCGTCTCAAAAGCTATTTGGTGAATATGTCAGCTACTTGAAGCTTAGTAGAAACAAACTTTGTGGATTAGTAGCACAAACCTTGTGGAAGTTTTTTCAGAAGATACCAACTCAGATACAAAGTGATAATCTATATGAATGTCTTTGGTTCTGCGTGTAATCAGATTTTGACAAAGAAAAATGGCATTTTGAGTTTCACATAATAAAATGGGACGATCCGCAGGCATTACATTGAGGTCACAAAGTAGATGGGTTAGCCAAATAATTTGTACAGCCTCGTTTGCCATTGCACTTTGCCATTGCACGATATTCAGATTCATAAATAGAGTGTTATAATGTAGGTTGATAGAATAACCGTAGGTAAAGCGACGAGTCTCGATGCAACAGGCCCAGTCGGCATTAGAGTAGACGACCAACAATGACTTTGTTGAGCAAGAGAAGTTTAAGTTGTAACTAATGCTGCCCTTAACATAACTTAAAATTCGTTTAACCAATTGAAAATGATTAGTTGTTGGAGAATGAAGGAATTGATTGGCTTATTTGACAACATAAGACATATCTAGGCGAGCGAAAGTGAGATATTTAAGAGCTTAAACCAAAGACTGGTAATAAGTAGGTTCTAAGAATGGTATGCATGTACTCTAGAATACATCTTTCGTACAAAGAAGAGTAGAAATTGGTTTAGGTGTTGTTTATTTATTCACAAAAGCCACTTTTGACCACTTTTTGTTACGCCGCATACCACTTGACCTTTCACAGTTGTTTGTTTTTTTATAAGACTTCTAACTTAAAAACTGTTGCGTATGTGTTGCGTGGCGCATCACTGGACCATCATCTTTAAACCACTTACCACTTACTTTAAGTTATATCATCCAACTTAGATGTATTTTTATTTTTATTTCAACAACATTATTATGTTAATATATTTTACATAATTTCAAAACCATTTGATAAATTTCATATAAATGATTTTTGTTTTATATAGTCTATAACTAAAAATTAATAGATTATAAAGTTAATGATTAAAATTATCAGATTTATTGAAGTTAATCGGAAAATAATCACTGTCTTCAAATTTTTAATAAAAATGAACATGTTTTTAGCTAAATTAACAATTTTATTTATTGTTATTTAGCAAATATTATGTTTAATTCTTTATATAAACTTCTTTAAAAATCATATCATCACAATGACCTTTATATTTGATTTGCATATGATTAAACTAAATAAATTTTTTCTTTAGATTTATTTTGAACTATTGTATAGTTAATTTCAGTTTATTGCAGCAGTCTGCAAAGATTAAAAAACAAACAAATTTCTTTCTTACAAATTGCAACTGTTTGATCCACCTCTTCTACTGCAGATGGTTGTAGATGTGTTCTGCAGACTTCAACCGTTTTCACTTCTAAAAAACAAACATCACCTCAGTATCAAGAAGATCAACCTGATTAATATATCATGACCTTTGCTCAATAATAGCACACAATCACTCGTATAAACCTTCAAGTCTCAATAGATATGTAATTTCCCTAAATCTCTAATAGTGAATTCTTGATGTAGACGTTCAAAGTAGCGATGTATAACAGACTCATTCTTATAGGTAAGTATGATATCACCAACATATACTAATAAGTAAAGTTTACAACATCCATGCTGAAGATGAACAAGGAGGTATCAGAACGAGTACACATAAAACCTTATTGCACCAAAAAATACAAAGACGTTGAAACCATGCATCGGGGGCTTTTTTTAGTCCATATAAAGCCTTATTCGAACGAAAAACATAATCAGGATGCAAGAATCCTCAAAACCTGATGGTTGCTCCATAAAAGCAATATTCGTCATATGCCCATTCTAAAAAGTATTTTTTACGTCAAACTGATGAATAATCCATCAATTTTAACAAAAAATAGAGTACCATTCGAATAGTTGTGTCTTTGACAACTGGACTAACGGTGTGTGAGAAAATCAAAATCTGGAATATTAGAAAACCTATGTGCCAAAAGATGTGCTTTATATCGATCAACTGAGCCACCTGACTTATATTTGGTTCTAAAAAGTCATTTTGAGCCAAGAGTATTAGAGTGCTTGGGACATGGAAATATAGTACATGTTTTGTGTTAATAAGTTACCTTTAATACCTCATGTATTGCATCGCACCAATGTTGATTCCTAGAGGCAGATTTAAAACCTTTAGGATTAAGGGGTGCAAGTAGAGAATGGAGAAGACTAGTAGGATCAACTGCTAAAAGATTCATTACATGTTTAGGCTTGATGACACATGCTTAAAAAACAAGTAACCATGATAGGAGACGGAGTATCAGGAGTAACCGAAGGTGCTGTTGGTAAAACAACTACTGGTGGAGGTGAGTTTGGAATTATTAATGCATTTTTAAATAGAGGATCCATTATAGTCACTTGTGGTGACAATATCAGCAGAAGGCGATAGGGGTTAATCGTTGTTGGATATATTTGTGTTGCGTCTTGGGCTAAGTATTTTGTATCCAGATTGGGCCTATCCATCCGTGTCTATCTAGATTAGTTACGTAGTTATCTGGATTAATTGTTAGGGTTATAGTATATATATGCATGCATGTATGTGTATATTGATAAGTTTTTCATTACGTTGATTTCTGTAACCCTAAACGCCTCTACAGATTGAAGTTCTTTATTGAGCTCTTCTGAGGTGTTATTGCATTAATCATTCGACATATTCAGCGCAATACTTGTGTTCTTATTACGTTCTTATTTTGTATCTTGCTTAAAATCATACGATCCTAAAAGAACTTTGTTCTAACAATTGGTATCAGAGCAGGAGACTGTGTGATTAATACACATTCCTTCTGTATACATAATTCGTTAGGGTTTCCGCTTTTATCGTATAAATAGAAGTCGTCGTCTTCATATCGACAATAACTCTATTTTTGATAAAACCCTAATCTCGAGTTTACAGGTTTGATTCTGAGCAGCTCACCATGTCTCAAGAAGATTCACATACAAACCCAATTAACATCTCAAATAGCATCGGATCAACAACCAGAGTACCTATACTCTATACTCAAGACTACGAAGTATGGGATCATCACTTTCAAGATTACGTGGTTGGATCGGAAGACAATGGCTATCTCATCTGGGAAGCTATCACTCTTGGACCGTTTGTACATTCAGAGACAAACACAACTGTTAAGATACAAAAAGATTATCACAAGTTGGTGACAGATGTTCAAAAGATGCCACAGGATGAGAAGGACAAGATCTTGTGTAACGTAAAAGCCATGCGGATGATAAGATTCGCCCTGCAATCTGACACCTTTCGGCTTGTAGGTTCATGCACAACTGCTAAAGAGATCTGGGATAGGCTGAAGGAACTTTACTCAACTGATGAAGATCTGGAACACTCCATTCAAACTCTGTTACTATCAGAATTTTGAGTTTTCGAACAGAAACCTGAAGAGAAGCTTGTGCAGACCTTTGATCGGTTCAATCATCTCTTAAGTAGGATGATCAAGCATGGGATAGAGAGGAAGCTGATCGAGCAGAAAGTAACGTTCATGAATGGGCTGAGACCAGAATGGATAGCTGTGGTTTCCACTGTAAAGGCGCATGAACAATTCAAATCGTACTCGCTGGCGAAACTAGTAGGGATACTGAAGTCCCATGAAAGTGTTGTAACTAAGGAAGCGAAAGTGGTCTCTGGTATGGGATCGTTGGCTCTTGTTTCTAAAGGAAAAAGTACTGCTGAAAAAGAAGAAGAAGAGTTAGACATGTCAGAGTGCGAGCTTACAAGTGAGGAATATGCCTTGATGATCACAAATCCAAAGAAATTCGCATGGAGAAAATTTCCCGCTAACAAGAACCGAAACTGGAAGGGAAGTTATAGTTCTGAGAAGATGAAGGATGAACCGAAAGTATCCTCTCAAAAGGATGAAGAGAAAAAGGAGAAGAAGCTCGCAGGAGACTCCGGATACGACTGTAACTATTGTCACGACAAAAACCATTTTGCCAAAGATTGCATGTTGAGAAAGATGGCTGAGAAGAGAGAGGGTGAAGATGACGAAGCGTATTATATGCGCAAATTAGAAGAAGTCAAAAAGAAAAAGGCATCCAACAGCTCAATGAATGCCTTAATCGTACAGGAGAATGCTGAGGAAGATGAGTTCGGTGGCGTAGAAGTATGGTCAACTAACTCTGAAGACGAAGAGGTTAGAAGACCCACTCATGGAAAGGCGTATGTGGCAAAGAATGAAGGTTCGGGTGGAAAATGTTTTATCGTCACTGCTGGTCCATCAACCGAGAGTGCAGATTCGGAGCTGAACCTAATTGAAAATAAGTGTTTTGCGGCCAAGCTAGTGAGTGAGAAGATCAACGTCTGCGATCGATTGATCAAAAAGGTACATTCTATTCTTGAGTCTCTTAAAATTTCAAAAACTGATTATCAAGAAGAATTAAATGAACTAAACTCTAAATTCTCTAACCTAAGTAGTAGCCTCATGCAAACCCGCTTAGCAAATTCTAACCTAACTGACCAACTCGGCAGGGTGTCTTTAAAAAGTGAGGAGAGGAGAATCTAGATTGAGCTGAAGGAAACAGAGTTAGTTAGGGCTAGGGATGAAAGTATTTATTTGCAAA